AACAAAAAAAATTAGAAAGATCTGCAAGCTTTATTGGGAATGACTAAATCAGGATGCATCTAAGGATGCCTAAAGCAGACCTGTCATCAGTTGCAGTTCTGTTCCTATTCTCTCCTATTCCTCTTCAGCTGCTCTTTCCACTAAGGTCTCCTGTCCAAGAACACTATCCAGTAATTTAAAATTGCCCTTCTTGAAGCATCTGACCACTTACTATCCCAAATTTGTCATTAGAAGACACAAAAGAGATCCACAGCTTCTGCCATGCACTTCCCATAAAGTGTGGAATGCAGCCAGGTAAATGGCAAGTTCTCGTACTTCTCTCAAAGAGGTGTCCTACACACCACTGGCTCTTACCAGAAGCTGGGTAGGAAGGGAACATACATCCCTGGAAGCAAGTAAGGAAGGAGCAAGAATGAAATAATGACAATGATTGAAAAGGTCCCACATTCACTGGTCTCGTTTAGTGGTTGGGTATTTTTTAAATAAGGAAAGATAATCTACTACCAAAACCCCAAGATCATTCAAGTTTAACTACTCTGTTTGAGAATCTTCTGGAAATAACTATAAAAGAGAAGCAGCTTCGATAGAAATCTATTTTAAATCTGCTTTCAAACTAATGTAACCTGGAATACAGTCATCAATAGATACATTAATCTCATTTTTAGACTTGCCTCACAGACTGTTGGTACAACTCCAGTCATGCTGCAGTAGTGTGCAGACACGGTTGATCTAGTTTGGTTACCAAAGTGCTCTATACAACTAATCCTCAGTGAAGGGAGAAGAGCAAAGGAAGAGGCAAAGAAAACTTAACTATGTCCCAACTATAGGAAAAGATTATTTACAGCTTACATTTTCTTCACTGAAATCACTCAAACCTAGGATCCAAATATACTGCAAGTCAGTTATTTATGGTGCTTGTAGTACTGTTCTTAAAAATCACACTGAAAAATCAGAGATTCCATTGTGTGACTTCTTACTGACATGGTTTTGGTTCACTCTTCTCTACTCATCCAGATCTTGTTCTTCTGCACAGCTTTTGATCTCTATCTCCCTCATGTCCTCAGACTCACATTTCAATTCCCTCTTCCTTTCCTAGTTCTCCACAATTCTCTGCTCCTTGATTTATCATTCAGCTCCTCTAAATTTGAGCATTTTCCTTCCATGCTCCCAGAAAAGAGGTCAAAGAAAAACACTATTCTCAATTTCAAAGTCTGGATTCACATCAGCTCTGAGCAAAATTTACAACTCTATACTAAAAGAGCTACTTTGTGAACCAGCACTGGATTTGCTTTCCACGTAGAAGTGATTACAGCTTTCCAAGTCTCTTTCTGAAAGCAAGCAATACTCAGCATTCAGCCATCTCCTAGTTTATCAGAAACTTAGAAAAATTCTATTACGTAAGATGCAGTTGTTTTCACAGTGTTTTCACACAGTGTTTTGTTAACCTTTAAACTGACGCCCCAGCCCCAAAGACAAGTGTTCCTAATGAACATTTTGATCAACGAATTCAAAGAATACTCGCGCTGAAGTGATACTGCAGACTGATGAAGGGATCTGTTAAAGCAGAGGGATGTTCTGCATCTCATCTCCACATCACATAAGTATCAAAGTCAAAAATGACACACGAGGTGATGGGTGCCTTTAGACTCCGCCCTTCTCCCACAAGGGGCATTTTTTCACTCATTTTCCTCCTACAGTCTTGACCCAATTATGCTGACATTGTCTCTCCACTACAGAGATCACTCTTTTATTCCAGTAACCAAAACCAAATCTCTCCTTGGTGGGAAGAGTGGGGTTTGGAGGGAGGACAACAACTTTATTTTTTTAATTCAAAAATTTCAATTGGATTTCATCCGAAAGGCAGACGTAAATTCTCTTACGAGAGTTTAAAAATACCACGACTCATCAATTAAGGTACTCTAGGACTTCAGGTTCAGCAGCACAGCCAGGAACGTGTCAATACCCCACCTCACTGAGAAGAAAATAGGAAACTTACTCATAATTTATTTCTATTCATTTTATGTTTCATCTGTTTCCTGGAGCTTGGTTATTTCTACCACACTCAGCAAAGATATCTAGTGATAAAAGATAATCAATGAGGAAAAACATTTGGACCAGTGTCCTAGTTAGGACAACTGAGACCAGTTCATCATGGTATGGGTGTAACCCAAAACTGTGTATTCTATAGCCTTCCATGCCATTTCCCAGAAACAGTTGTCAATAGACTATTCGAACCCTCTGCCCATAGAGCCTGACTCCTCAGGCTATAAACTAGGTGTTAAGAGGCCTGTGAGATAGGAGGGTGCTCTTGTCCTCACACCCTTTGTGGAACTCCCCGCCCTGAGGGAAGTACTGAGCATTCCTGCCTGAACTGGAGGATATATAATCTTGGAGTCTTGGAACATTTGTAACCACTCGTGGGATCCAGAAGGAAGACTGCATCTCATCGCTCTCGACCTCAGCTGGACTGCAATCACCACTTTTGACCAGACTGCAACAGCTCTCCCAGCAGCAGGTTTTTCCCCTCTCCCTTTACTTTGGACTCAAGCGGGGCCCAAGGAACACCACTTTGTTCATGCCCCAGGGTACTGGGTTATACATTTGGGTTTTGTGGGTTAAGACCAATTGTTTGTTTGTATGATTGTACTTACTGTATTATTTTAATAAATTGTTATTCTGACTTATAATCTCTCCTTTGAGTTGGGTTCATTTCCCCTGCTGGTTAACTCTTAAACCAGCACAACCAGTTTTACATATTCACTTATCTTATGGAGCAAGCATGTATGCGGATATATTTATTTAAAATTATTAGTAATTTCTTTTTTCAATACAGACTTTTTTCTAATTAATTTCTGCCCATTAATATCACAGTAAAATGTCTTTAGTACATAAACATTTGTACTAATATCTTGTAAATACACAACTATTCTCAGTTTTAACTTTGTTTCCAAGGTTTTAAACTATCCAATAACCCACTTATTTCTACACCAATACTACATAACACATTTCTGGTATGATACGGACAGAAATTAATGGTTGGTGAACTACTGTTTGTTTTTAATGCTTCTTCAACTTCCTCTTTTTGCCTGCAGAAAATAATATATTTGCAAAGAAAAGACATCTGAGGAAAAAATCCATACAATTATAGTGATGAGTCAATCCAAATCAGCAGCATGAGGGGCTGACCCTGGCCAGCAGCTGAACACCACACACACACCTGCTCCATCTCTGCCCCTTGCAGCAGGACTGGAAGAGAATTAGAAAAGCCTAAGTGAAAAAACTTGTGCGTGGAGATAGTTTAACAGGCAAAGGAAAGAGGAAGGAAAAAGCCAAAGCAAATGATGCAGTGTGGGAACAATAGAGAGCCTGGATACTGCACAGGTACTGCTCAGCAATAGTCAAAACACAGGTTGTTATCAACTCTGTTTTAGCCAAAAATCTGAGATATGCAGAAAACTGGCACCTTAAAATATAACAGTTTCACCAGTTTTCAGGACATCACAGATGGTGTATGGTTTAATTTTATATCTTTATTCATAGCTTCAAATGATAAAGATATCTATCTTTCTGGAATCACTTTTGGAAATGACAGATTTTGTAACGCATTGCAACAAAACCCACATGTACTATAATCAATTATATAGTTGTTTGTAATACTATAAAATAGGGTAAAAGGTAATCATTGACAATATGTATTTGGCATGTGTTGTATAAACAGGTCACAAGAAATACAACTCATAAGCATGTTGATATGAGGTTGCAAAGTTACACAGTACTGATTGCTAATCAGAACCGTCATACTGCACTCCTGGGTTCCAACTGCTAAAAGGTATTTACAATTCAACAAGAAAAACAAGATATTATGTAGCCACTGCAAAACTATTAGCCCGGCTGTTACACAGCTTAATCACACACAGCGGTGAAAAAAATCATCCCTGTCTCCTGTTCTTCCAGCCGATTATTGTATCACCACCAAGTGCCAATACAGAAATACAGGAGAAAATCAGGATCTAACACATGAGCACTAAGCTTACTCTTGGAAAGAAATAATTTCCTAGAGCATATTTTAGGAAGGTGAGCTGTTCTGCAAGCATTAATGTTGCCATTTACTGTTTCTTCCCTTTTATATTTATTTCCTTGAATGATGCTAACATGACTGCCTATTCATATTTCACTGAGTGGATCGATAGCTGAGAGCCCAGCTGAACTTACAACGTGTGAGTAAGTGTTCAGGAATCAAAGAAGCCAAGTCTCAATAGGCCTGAATAACATTTCTGATGCATGAATATTGTCTATTCTAATGATGTAAGCTCTTACTGATTTAGTTCATAATACTGAAAGATACACTTCAAGTTCTAATTAAGCTTGTTGTCAATAATACAGGACTTTGCATTTTATACTTTCCATTATATTCTTTTTTCCCCGGGGGCTACCTTTAGTATTAACTGTTACAAATGTTTTCTGTTACTCTGTTAAAGATGCACACTTTTTCAAAGGCAATATTTACCTGCTAACACGTCCTTATTGACACAATCATCGCACCTTTTAAATAAGATTGATTTGAATCTAATACTACTTTATGTTAATAGGTTATCTGAAACTCTATTATCATGCACATATAAAGAATAGATAATTTTTCATTATTAAGTCACTACATGGATCTCACAACAGAAATAATGTATCTGAAAATCATTCTGCAGAGGAAGATGAACAGCTACTAATTTGGAATAAGTTTTTTTCCTCTCCAGATAACTTGTTAAAAAGATTACTCTGCGGTGCAATTTTTGCAAAATTAAGTTAAATGCAAAGCTAAGGGCAGACCAATAGTCCATTTGTCAGACAGAAGAAAAATATCATTGTCACCTAGGTATTTTATGTAATACAACTTCAAAGTCACAAAATTTTTGTACTAAGGGTTTATAAATTTTAGGATACATAACAGCACTGGAAAATCATCCCCAATGACTATTAGGCTTCTATATAAAGACAAAATCACTCACCACAAGTGAAAGTGGTCTCTTCCAAGAAACAACACCAATCAATCCGGACAACAGCACCTGTAATAGGGAAAGCAGAGTCACTAAAGGGACATGAGGTTTTATACCAGTGTCATTAAAAGAACTAGTAAGCAATAAAATGAAGCTTAATACACATTCATGATGTGTATTTCCTGAATGCTGGAAACCAAGTGCTAAAAATGTAATGCTTTCCTTTTATTCTCAGTAACAAATACACAGAACTACCACTAAGCTGTGTAAAGAGATTTCTATCCAGCTGCCAGATCCACCTAGTTCTGATCAGATCACAATATGTCTTAAAACATTTCCTCTCTCCCAGTCCCAAATGTTATCAACTCTGAAGAAGAATAAATGTAAGGGAAATTTTCTTGTGGTCTCTTAGCATCATTGAAAATTAGCCTACAAAAAGGGGAGTACTGACAGGAAAATCACAAAATCATACAGGGTATCCAGATAAATTAGCAAAAGGGTCTTTTTGTTTTGTTTCACCCGCCCAAACAACTTCTTTACTTGATCTCGTGATTGAAAAAGGACCCATACATTCATTTAAAACCTGTATTTAACATACAGACACATTACTCTCTACTCTGCAGACCAAAAGCAAGCAGGATTCAGACCTTTATACACCTAAGCTGATCTTAGGTATTTTAAAATAATATGCAAGCTTTACATTTCTCTCAGTTAAAACCAGTGAGAGAAACTGGAGCAATGAGGTCAGGGATATCGACCCTGGGGTGGGGGGAAAAAGGTGGAGAGGAAGCTTTTCATGAGAACATTTAATTAACAGAAATAGTAAAGCAGAACACAAAAGAAATGCAGAGAAAAGAATGAATAATGTATTTATTTCCTGGGTCCGTGGTGTCATTTTTTCTCATCTCGGCTTGTGCCAAGAACTTGTGTAACAGTAACTTATACACTCAGCTAGTCACCGTTGCCACTGTGTCCTAGTTTCCTAGCAATCTTTTAGGTATAAAAATAATAAATAAAAATGCCCCTATATCTAGCCAGTACAGAAGCAATGTACACTGTACTGGGAACCAGGCTGGGAACAATCCATCTACTGATGCAGTTGGACTGCAGAGCACTCATTTTAGGTTTTCACAAAGCCTAATTTGTGGACATTCATACGGTGGGCATATTTCAAACATATTTCACAATTGACAATATCCACAGTTGCTGCAGCTGTTGAAAACATTATTCAGAAAGACAATACATTGTAAAAGGCACCTTTTGGTGTTTTCTTTAGTAGCTACACCATTAAAAAAAACCCCCTCAAATTAAGATTTTTAGTAAAATCTCAGTGTTAGTTTTTAAGTGAAGTAATAATGGCCAGTCTTCGTGAGCGAAGACTTGGGAAAGGTCATTAACCCTTCAAGCCTGCGCAGTGGATTTTTTAGGTGAGACACAGCTTGCGCTGAACTGAGCCCACCCTTTAATCCTGAGGTTCATCTGCCGGGGCCGAGCAAGCTTGGACAGTGGCAGTGAGGTCCCCAGGACGTAGGTTTGTTTAGAGTGACCTTCTCTTAGATGGATGGCCTTACAGGGCTGACGAGCTCCATCTGCCCGGGGGGCTGGGAATCGAACCTGGGTCGCAGCGGTGAGAGTCCTGCACCCTAACCACTAGACCACCAGAGGCCCCTTTAAGTGAATTAATTATTATTATTAAGTGAAGTACAAATGCAACAAATGAGAAGGCACAAATGCACAGTAAAAGTGAACCAAAATCAGGATGTGGATATCAGACTGTGCAGATAATGCTTACGTGCAAATGTGCATATTTTGTATTCTACAGCGTTTCCTACAGCATAGAAGCTACATACTTCTGGATGTTGGCCAAGTGAAGGAAAAGCTGAGAATTCCATCTTTGCAGTTAATTAAATTTACTCACACAGCCATGTTAGCTTAGTATTACTGTATGATAACTTGTCTGTGGACTGATAGTCCTGTAATGTGAAACTGCACTCAGGAAGGTAAAATGACAGGGTTAGCTAGTTTATCTGCAGGCTAGACAGCAACATGCTCTCAATTAAATAAATAGGGTGGCTAAAATTGTGAGGTTATTAAAGAAAACCCTTTGGAGTAGCAAACCTTTACTTTCATTTACCGTGAGAACTCCCTTCCACAAGTTAAACCTCTCCCCATCCTGTCTTTATTTGTGGCATTGCACAAGATGCAAGAATGGAGCTGATCCTTTTTGTTCAGCTGAACTACAGCTGTGTTTGACCTTTACAGAGGCCTTGCAAGATGAAAGAGGTACATGTGTTTTTGTTTGGAAAAGGAGAGCTTTGTGGCACTCGCTGTACCAGCTCACCATGCAAAAGGTCAAGCACAGTCAGGCCAGCTGATGAACTTGCACTGATGATGGACTTTAGAACTCACTGTTCCACCTGTGTCTTTAATATTGTCATTATAAGAGTTCACCTCAACAATCCCGTCATGTAATTTTCCAAACCCCATTAGTCTTCAGCATTTGGGTAGAATACACCAAATGACTATCTAAATAGAAAACTAAAGAAGATTTACCTTGAAACTGAAGACAACCAGGAATTTAAGAACACAAAACCCCCCAAACTAGAAAAACCCAGCCTTGGCATTTTGTTTTCTCTTCAGTTTGTACTTCTTACCAATACAATGTTAACATTGAATAAAGTGAGTAGAACCACACTTGGTTTATATACAAAAGTAGGAATTATTTGAAAAGTAGTATGTAATTTACAGGCCCCAAAGATCTTACAATAATGGCTCCAAATATTCAATCCTTACTCCATTTGAAGCAGTATGCAAAACACTTATTTGGTTCTCCCAGGTTTGACCAAGAAACACAGGCACAAGATAAGTGAGTTAGTTTTATACTGGTAACTAAAGCATTATCATTTCCTAAAAACCCATTCCTCAAGATCGCAATCTATTCATCTTCTCATGTTTTTCAAAAATCACTACACCATATATATGCTGTGCACAGGTTTTTTCTTTCTTAAATAAAAAGTAAATTGGAGTTTGATTATTTTAACAACTTGCCCACTTAAGTTTGAAAACATGGTTTGATTTCAGAACCTGGACAGCATATTTATCTACTATCCTGGACCTAAATTCTATCTGCTGAATTGTAGTGAAACTCCCCAGCACATAATAATCAAAATAAATCAAAGCTACTAAAAACATGTTCAAAAATGTAGGTTTGCCAGATTCCTTAAGCAGAATTCCTAAAGATATATGTACCTGCTGACTATAACAGTGCTGATTCACAGAGGAAAAAACAGAATATATCAGCATTGGCTTCAGCAGCATTAGACATGCAATAACAGAGGGTATGAACATCTTTCAAATGCATATGAAAACTCCATTATCGTTAATGCAAGTGGTGCTCGTGCATGACAAAGATGCATTTACTATAACAGGCACATATTGAGGCAGGACCAAACCAGAAGGTAAAATTACTTTCCATTACAGGGACTGCAAACAAAGGATTTGCCCTTGATGGTGTCTTTTCCAGCATTTTCAACCCTCCACACTCCAGTGAGTCTCTAGAAATCTAAAGGGCTTTGACTTTGAATATGGGACAGATCAGATGATGCAGTCTTTCAATGTATCTTAAACCATGTGTTTTCCAAGTCTTCATCTCCAAAATGATTGTTGTATGCTAAACACTCTCTAGTATGCTTCCTTTAAGCTTTTCTCTGAAATACATAAAATGTATATTTATATAAATATTACTTAAAACAACCTAAAATGTAGTGAAACACTATCAAGGTAAAAAAACATTACAGACATGTAAAATTACTGATGTCTAAGTATTAATTTGTTTAATAAAATGAGTTATCTTTTTTTTTTTTCCTCAGTACAACTTGGGTTTTAGCAATGCTTTTCTAGTCTCGAGCACATGACTTACAGGAAACTCCAAGTTTTAGTATTTATTTTTATTCCTGCTTACTTGCTCAGGCTGATGCAACATATGTCAAGTCACTTGGTCCTCTTTTACAAATGTATGGGTTCCTCGCTTTTTCAGCTGGTAAACACGAGACAAATTCTCCAGTCAATGGATTCAGTTGCATTAAAATAAGCATACAAGTTCTTCACATTAATTGCAGAGATTCCTTCTCAGGCCTCTTCTAAGAACTAAATTTATGTGTTTACAGATAGGCATATACAGTATGCATATGATGGCAAAAATGTGTGTCTCCAGATAAGCTAAAACCCAAACAGCCTGTTTGTACCAACACATCAGACAAACATCCCTCATGGTGGCCCAGGCAGAAGCAGGCAGATGCATGAGGCTGCTGAGTGCAGAGGGCAGGGCAGGGAACGGGCTGCCTGATTCACCAGCTAAGGAGACAAACCCCAGCACGCACAGCACCAGCCCCACAGTGCCTTCTGGCAGCAAAGCACTACAGCAACTGCTGCTCTGCAGAGCTTTCTGAAGCCACTGACACTGCCCAAGGTTCCCCCTCTCTGGGCTGCAGGAGCACAGACTACTGTAAGGTTTCATTTTGCCAACTCACATGTTCCAGACATGGTGAAGTTCTATTGTACCTGAGCAACTAAAAAGCACTGATATCCCCAACTGTCCTCAAGTCTAGGTGTGCCTCCCAGAGAGACTAAATTAACAGCTGAAATATCTTCAACGGGGGTGTTTCCGTGAAATCTATAGTTGCCTCTTAACAGGTAGATAATTATTTACAAAATGCAATTATTAAATTAAATTAAATGTCACAACTATCACATACTCAGAGACTATAAAAGCATGACATGTTACTACCAGAGTACGAAATCTTCTGGTATTAGTACTCTCTGCAGCATCTGCAATCCATTAGTGCAAAATGCTGGTAAGTTAAACACAAGCTATAGGAAAAGAGCTATAGGAAAGAACTGTGCAGCACGAGAATTAGCTGAAAAGGGACTGGAATAATCCACCAGTAATATTACTCTCCATTCCAATTCCTGGAAAAACAGTAAGGATGAAAATCTCTTGGGGAGGGGGTGGTGTGAATGTATTAGCAAGTAAGATAAGGAAGAAAAAAGGTTTATATATATTTCCATAT